ACCGCTTTTTTTTTATCAAATTAAAAAAAAAAAAAAAAAAAAAACAGGAAGCAAAGGAAGAACAAAAGAGATCAGCGAAACGACATCGTACCGCCTGAAAAACTCACTGGAATGCATCTACAGCCTCTTTTCAAGCAATCTTTAGCCTCGATCCTCAGTTATGATTGATCTCCAGATAAGATATAATCACGTTGAAATTGATTTTCAACATTCCAGCTATATTTGTAACGTGGAAGATTATGTTTTAACGCCCCAAATCACTCCCCAGATCCTTGCAAAGCATCAACCTTTAAAGATTATTCTGGAACGTTTCATGGCTTTAATGTGATGATTTGAGTGACTGCAGGCCTGGATTTCTTCTTTTTTTGTGCCTATGAACAGTAAAGATGAGGAGAAGGAAATAAACAGAGACGCAGAGGTTAGAGGGGAGAAGAAAAACGGTGCTAGTAAAGAAAAGAAACAGTAGCATTCATACTGTTTGAGAAAAAAAAGACAGCAGAAAACTGTCCCTCTGGTTGCAGTAGCATTAGTGCCATAAGGGCAAAGATTTTTTTGAGATATACAATAATATTGAACATTCTCGTTGTACCAGCAGTAACATTACTAAGAATAAGAGTTTTTGAAGTCTGTTAAAAAGGTTCTACAAGCCAAAAAGGGGTGACAGCAGCAGAAGTTTATCACCAAATTCTAGATCGTAACAGCAAGTTGTTGATTCCACTTTTGCTTCTCTTATCCTGGACTGTAGATACCCAGGAAACACAACAAACCTACTTGTTCTTTACCAATGTATATAGCCTTACATTTTGCTTGGTTGCTGGGGTTTTAATATTTTCATTTCTAGTGAAGATTGCCACAAGAAAAGAAAAAAATGATAGAGAACTAAAGCTATTGCAAATGTTGTTTTGATCTTCTGTTTAACTCAAATCATGAAAACGTAGGCGAAATTATGCAAAATCAATACTTGGGTACAGTTGTTGGAAATACAGGTGTCATTCCCATCTGCAGATTTTCTTAGGAGTTTTGAGTGGTTTTCTTTTGGATTGCATCTTCCTAGATAAGAATCTTCTCTCGATCTTCAATAAAAAAGTTGATGATCATTACATACCCTCTCAAATTCCCGGTTCAATTAGGAAGAAAGCATTTCTGCAAACCTTCTTAGCTAAACCAGTTGCATCATGTACGTTTAGCCTTTATGCCTTATCCCATGTTGCCATGCTTTTGGAATTACAATGTCATAATGGTTAACGAGCGTATTTGTTATCAAATTAAAAATGTGATTTATTTATTTTTTAGATTAAAATTTTATTAGAATTTAATATCAACATATACTCTTTAATATAAAATATTAACATGATTTAAACAAGTTATAGATAAATAAGAAAT